CTATAATACCCCCAGGAGTAGGTGTCAAGGAGTGGTGTCACGTGAAGGAGAAGAGGGAGCTGTGTGTGTTAGTATACGACTCCGTGTCTTTCTCATGTTCCCTGTATTTCTCTTCATCTCGTCTTGTCCATTATCGTTTTTATTTCACCATTTTACCACGCCCTAACTCAGACACCCAAGCGACTCGGGATATAATTAAGACACAATTCTGTAATATAAACGAGTAATACATTCCTTACACGTACTAAACACGAGTTACACCTTCGTTACAAATACTTTTAATGTTTTTTTTTTTTTACATTACGTAACCTTTGACCTTAATACAGCAATATTTACACCTAAGGCATCTCATTATCTGTCATCCTAGCATCCGCCTTCACCTGGCCTGGAATGTTATAAGCAGCGGCAGTTTGGTTCATTAAGTTATCTGGAATGTTGATGTAATTATATATGGTGTGTATCTTTAAACCCTAACCTAACCTAACCTAATCTAACCTAACCTAACCTAACCTAACCTAACCTAACCTTTGGCCCCTTGTTTTTGATGAATGGGTGGGTGTCATTGGTCTCTCTCTCTCTCTCTCTCATTTCTTTGACCTAATTCTCTCCATCTCTCCTCCTCCTCCCCCAGATCCTCCCTCCTCCTGCCCTTCCTCCCCATGTGACACCTTCCCTCAAAACAACCTCCTTCCTGAGAGCCAAAGTCCCTCTCTCTCTCTCTCTCTCTCTCTCTCTCTAACTCTAAGGAAGAGAAGGAGGAGGAGAGAGAAGAGGAAGAGGCGGAGGAGGCAAACGAGGAGGTGGATGGAAGAAGAAGAAGAAGAAGAAGAAGAATCACACACTATGGGTAACCTTGAACATCTAATTGCCTTGTTCACTCGCCCGTACAAGGACAGTGACTATAGAATGAAGAACGAAATTGATACTATGATTCTGTTGTAATTGCACGAGTCCTTTCAAATGCCAATTCGTGAAAGATAATTAGCGAAACATGTTTTGTTTTGGAATTCCGCATTGTACTACTAATACTTCTACTACTGATGATGATGATGATGATGATACAAGCAGGGACTTTGAACACTCAGGCAATAATAAAGTGAGTCAGAAGCTCCCAACAACCTGACAAATTTCTGTAAGATTTTCCATTTTATCTGAACACACACACACACACACACACACACACAC